TCACTTATTATGGCTTTTATAGACCACAAAAGATGCAGGACATGTGCTGTCTTGTTCATTCGTACTGTTTAAGGATATCGTCCCTCGGCTACTAGAAATTACAAACTGGAGCTGCCAATTGGCCGGAATGTCTGCTGACAAATACTTTTAATAATATTATTTTTACACCAATTTTTAAATTTTTTTAGTACCTTTTCACAATATTTTTTAGATTTTTCTTTATTGCATTATGTGTTTCATCTTGTACTTCCTCTATTTTCTCTTTAATTTTTTTCCCTTAAATAAGTATTATTATATGAACACCACATGTAAAAATAGCATTACCCATAATTTTTTTATATCTTGAGTTGCATATGGTTTTAATGTATGGCAGAAAGCAAGAAAAGGGCAGCAAGATACCGCCAAGGGGACAAAATATATGATGGATATCGATAATTTTGTTGGGAGAAAAGAAGAATTAAGGTGCATTTTCGTACTCTGCTTTCTGCTTATATAGCAAGCACGAAGGCTACAAAGGATCTCAACACTAAAATAAATTTCCAATCATTGAAAGGATTTCCCTTTATTGATTCAATCATCAACTTTAAAGTGTACTCTTCATAGGCAAAACGTATCGTTACATTTTAAGTGCTCATTACATCTCTTTAAGTCCTAGGATGAACTCAATCGGCTGAGCCAAATGATGTAAAGGTAAGAGAAGTTTAAAAGGGTTGGAACTAAACAGAGGCTAGCACAGGCCTAATAATACAGAGATCGCCCCCAAACTATGCTTTTCCTAGCCACCATTTAATCCTTTTTCCTAAGTAATTGATAATATATAAATAATTGATATAGTGCCCCCTAATCCTTTATAAACACTTTTTTTTAATTAATGGTCTTTTCGTTATCCTTTTGTTTACTTTTTTTTTTTTTGTAATTTGATTTTCATTTAATTTCTATAAATATTGTTTTTTATTTAGAAAATAAAAAATCATGATATTTTAAAGAAAAATCTAAAAACTGATATTTAAAGAAATTAAATAAAAAAACTACATTTAATGAAAAATTATCAAAGAATTAACGGATAAATCATTTGGTAAACAAAATATTGTGAGATTAAGTTGAAAGTAAAAATGATTAAGGAATTGAAAAGTTAGTTAAATCATTTTTCACGTACTCAAGCTTAATTTAAGGATGATGTTGGAAATAAAATGGAATCCAAAGGTTAGTATCCTGTTTAAGAGTAATTTCATATGATTTTACAACATTTTCTTAAAGAATATTAACAATTATCTTTAAAACATTAATTCAGAAATAAAAAAAAAAGATTTTATGAAAAAGTTTACCATATAACTTTATCAAAATCTTTAATACAATATTAACATAGTTTATAATAAAAAAATTTACTAATTTTTCAAGCAATGTCATATTAGACATTCTTTAGTTATTAATATTCTTTATACCTTATAAAAATTAATATCAAACAAAAAAGTAAATATGAAATAATTATCTTAAAAGCATAAAATAGTCAATATTTTTCATAAAATAATTGTAAAAATTAGTAACAAAAAATTAATAAATTTATATTTTGGAATGTTTTTATAACTTATTTTTATATGTTTGACCTTTATTTGAGAAAGATTTTCTATTAATTTACTCATTAATCGTTATAATTTAGTATGAATCAATCACCAACAAATTTTGAAAGTATTTTAGTTGTAATTTATTAGAAAACAAGGTTACACTTAACATAAAGCACAATTTTACTTAACAACCACCTTGAGAGTGCTTTTGACCATGCATGGTAATGTTGGAGGGTATACATTGCTTCTCTCTTAGTGTAACCAACTAAGAGATTTTCAAAGGGCTATGAGAGAATTTAAAATTTGAATTTAACAACAACAAATCATATATATCTATATAGTGGAGTGATCTCCTTCTTTTTGCTCATGAAATGGTCAGCTGTGTACCACTGAAAACTAGCAAAAGCCATCTCATTTACTAGTTTATACGTCTCATCTAAGTGTTTTCTCATAAGAGTTCCTCCAACTACTGCATCAATTGTGACCCTGTTAGAAACTGATTCTGTAACACCTTAAATTTAATTTTAAATATCAAATTTTACAAAATGGGAGAAAAAATAAAATTTTATTCAAAATAATTTTCCCTATGTATAATTCATTAAAATATTTCAAAATAAGGATGTGTTACAACTTGCATCAAATCATTGCTATAGGACCAATTCAATTACATCAGAGTTCAAATAAATTTTTAGTCTTATAGCAGTTTCATTCATCCCTTCACTGAGCCTAGTGCTGGTCATCTTGGTCACCTGAAAAATAAATATAAGTCCAACACATACACAAATATAAAGACTCACCTTGCGCACCCACATGTATTCTTACATATTCTACACAAATATAATCAATCACAAGCAACACTTTTCAAACATTTCAATTCAAACACAACTAATGCACTCACCGCACCAATAACATTCACACATACGTGTGCTCACTACACGTGGCACTGTGATCATAGTTTCACATCATAAATGGTCACCGGTTACCCCTGCCTAACAGATACCACGTGTGTGGTCACGAGTCGCTCGACAAAAGTGTGTCAAAGGTCTAGTCAGGATGAGAGTATGTGGCCTGTGGTGCACCCACGCTCACTGTTGGTGTCACCACCACTCTCTCTTCCCTAAGGTATTTCTACCGTCTCCATCTTCCACACTTTCAGTGTATCGGTGAACCATTCATAGCATATTCATAACCATATTTAACATGCCTCATTCACACACATTTCAGTTACATACAATATTCTTTCACAACACACGACACACAAGCCCACATTCATTCACAGCACACGACACACAGGCCCACATTCATTCACGTCACATTCAACGCATAGCATTTTCAACATAAATCCAAGTACAATAGTCATTCCTAACACACGTTTTACTCAATACCAACTACATTGAAATCAATCACATAATTTCTATCACAACCTACTCAAATCAATTCATTTTCATCACATACATTATACGATCTCTACCACATTACGCTCAGACACACAACTTTCATCAAACAACCATTTCTCCACCTTCTATTTCAATTATAATTCAACAAATGACAACATACATAGAATTTGTAATACAATGAGATAGGGTAGAGTCCCCCTTATCTCGATTGAAGACCTACACATTAAATCAACAATGAGAAGGCTCCCCAAACGAACTTAGTCCTAAATACATGGAAGAACCCCATAAGAACCAAGGGAAACAAGAGAATAAAGAATGGGGATGAGAAACTGAAACCTAACCATTAAAACTCACCTCTAAGCGTTCCCAACACAAATCCAACCTTCAATCTAGTTCCCGAACAGCTTTGGAGGCAATTTAATCGGTGACTTTCCCAAACCCTACCCCCTATAAATACCCCTCTAGTCGCGACACTCTCGCTGCAGCGAGACATCTCTCACTGTAACGACACCCCTTGTCGCTACAGCGAAAATCTCAGAGGGAAACTGCATCCTAGTTTCTACAGAATCTTGTTAAAGCGAGACTGTACCTAGAATTGTACCCCAAACTATCGCTCTCTTGTTGTAGTGAGAAGGCGACAGTTTCACGCCTTTCTCCTAGGCCCTCTCGCTACAGCGAGACCTCTCTCGTTGCAACGAGAACACCCTACACCCTACACTCAGCCTATTTCAAACAGTTCAACATAGTCAATCTCGATGCACAATGAACATCCACATTTATAATATACGCACGTACACACACACACACACACATATATATATTACAAAAATTCAAGGCATTACAAATTGGCCATTGTAAAATATTTGCATTTGTCTCTTGATGATGATTTTCAACACACTTGGCAAGTGGACCATGTTTCATTGTAGTAATACATTATTGTCCTCAGGGATTTGGTGGTAAAAGTAATTTTGTGTCTTGTTTGCATACAAAAGTGGAGAGCATGATTGAAATATTGATTTGTACTAAAGTATATAAAAGCAACAAAATGAAATTTAGTAGAAAATCTTATACAAAAAAGAGATTGGATTCAAATATACTTTCTAACTCTTTTGTCTTCATTGAATAAATATGATTTCAATTCTATTACTTCCATGTTCATTAAGTAACTTAACCAGATCCCTCAAAATTACGTCTTAAGGTGATTAATCCTACAACGTGATTCCTCTATGATGTAAGATTAACACCTTGCATTAAGAACAATAAATTGAACATAAGTGGCTAAAAAACCCAAGTCTATTCCTAGTACAAGAGATTGTTAGTTGTGTGATTCAGTTTGGGTTTTTTAAAGCATTTCTCAATAGAGTTCAAAAGTCAAAGATCATAAAACGGGTAATCAAACCAAATTAAGCATTAAGAATCATCCTCAAGTAAGCAAATTGAATATCATATAAAATCAAGAAGTAATAGAGTTAGGAGTTATATTGAATCCAATCCAAGAAAAATCAGTCACTTATGTTGAGGGTCATAGCAAGATACAAAATGAAAGTATAAGAAGAAGAAAAAAAAAATGAAGATGTGATCCTCGTTCCCATCCTCTCAACATCTTTGTTCGCTCTATTTTTTCCTTAGTTCTTTCTCTCGAAACGTGTATCTCCTTAATCTTGTGTCTCTCTCTAAGAGCCCTTCTTATACATGTCTTCAAAACATGGGAATTTGTACATATTTTAACTCCACGACTACAACTATAGATTCATGGCTGTAGCTGTGAAGAGTACTTCATGATGAAGAAAGCTTCCAAGGTTATGGCCCTGAAAATCTGGAGTTTCTCTTTTCTTTTTTGTAGTGCCTCAAGGCTGCAACCTTGAGATGAGGCTATGACCTTGGAATGTTGTCCTCTTTAATTCTTGCACCAAAAGAGAGAAATTTTACCCCAAAAAAAGTGTCAAATTAATGCTAAGAATTATTTACATTTTAACCCCAAAAAAGGTGTCAAATTAATGACAAATCATGACTTTTTAGCACTTAACATCTTCACATAGGAAAATTATGGTGAGAGCACCTCCTTAAAAGTTCTTGAAATCATTCTCATGCCTCAAATAGGGACTCCGACTTGTACTACTGAAAACTGAAAATTTTTGTCATAAACTTAGCAGATCTAGATAGAGTAAAATATTTTTCTAGAAATTGTTGAGTCAGATGAAAATACCCACGTGCCAACTGTTAGGGTTTGAGAGTGCTGACTACTGCGAAATGTTATTTTCTAATCAATTTGGGCCCAAAATGCACCCAAAAACTAAATTTAACCTTTTCATATTAATTTGCACAATAATCACAAAAATTAATGCAAAACTCAAGTAAAATAATGACCATTCATCAATATATAAGCTATAAAAATATGTCAAAATAAAAACCTATCAGTTAGGTTAGGCTAGACTTTGCATAAGTATGTTTGACCTATTTAATAATTTTGAAACATGACCCTGACGTATTATTTATCATAAGCTTTTTATTAAGTCTAACTTGTTATTTTTAGAAGTCTAGTTTAACCTATTAGTTTTTTGATGACCTACTTCATATTGAGATTTTTAATAGGTTATTAAGTCTCTTTATTAATAGACTATCAAACTAGATAAATAGGTATGTTTCTGTAAGGCTTATATCTAAATAAGTCATTAGAAAAAAGGTTCAATACCTTAAATATTTATAATAAAATTATATATTCATATTTATTACTTTCAAAATACATATTTAATTTAAATAAGTAAATCACTAAACATACAACAAACACAAATGCAGATTAGTGTTATGCATACAATACAGATCAAGTAAAAGTAAAGCAAAAGACTCTAGTAATAACGCTTTCTTTTAGAGGGTATGTAGTATGGACATTGTTAAATTCCAACAAAAACAATTAGGGTTTCTAATTCAAGATTCTATTCATTTTAAAATTTAATTTATTTAATATAATATTATATTATAATTTTTATATAAATTATTTAATATATTATTATAAATTTTATGACTCTTAAATAGACTTGAGTTAGGCATAATAAGCTTTTTCTCAAGTTTAATTCTAAACTATTCAATTAATTAAGATTTTTAAAAAGTTTAAATTAAACTTATTATTTAAATAAGTCAAGTCAGGATAGGTTGTAGGCCCTTTTCGATAGCCTAGCCAATTTCCATCCTAGACTTGGACTTGGTCGACTTCTGACGATTGTTAGAGGCATTTCAAAGTGACTAACCAAGAGCACGTAGTAGAGCAAAAACTCTTATCATTTTTTTTCTTCAAAATCCTTAGTTTGAGTTTTTTTTTCTTCAAATGAGCGTTAATTTTTTTACAATTTTTTCCCTATTTCATTCTAATTAGCTAAATCCATAATTAGAGCTATGATGAATTCTTTGCACAATTTATGTGATCTTTTAGTTTAATGATAATTGTAATTTCCTTTATAGATTAGTTTTTGCTCTAGTGTGTTTATATTTGTATGTTTGAAATGATTATTATTAACATAACATAATTGATTGCATTGTAAGCAATTGTATCACATGTAGTTAATAAAATTATAGGATAAACCAACATAGAATTAAGTGGATCAAATTTAGTTTTCTATTTCAATTGATTATTAATTAACAAACTGATAGGATCTTTATATTTATTTTCTACCTTGCATGATCATTAAAAGTGATATTTAAAGAAAAAAATATTAACATTGCATGACTATTAAGCGTTAATAATTTTAGTATGGAAAATTGACAAGCATGACAAAATTAGAATTAGAGTTAAACTAAAAATAAACATAAAAAGGTGTAAAAGTTGAAACTATATATCCTAGTTTCATTTCAAATAACTTTCATATCAAAAGTTATGCTATGTCTTTTTCTTTTAATTACTTATTCATTTTAGTTTATAATTTTTATAATTTTTCTTATTTTATTATATATTATTTTAGTTTAAATAAATAAATCACAATATTTTTAATAACTAAAAATAATCTCTATAAAATGATATTTTGCAAACTCAATTTAAAAACTTTTTTATTAGAACACTTGACAGATGTTAAAAGAAAATATAAAAATACTTTTATTACTGGTATCCAATTGCATGCATCTGGACCACGGTCTAGGAGAAGCAATTTTTGAACATGAGAGTGCGATGGTCAGACGGCTCAAACATCTATTGAGTCTCAGGTTTGATATACATAGCTCCCTTCTGAAAATGACTATATATATTGGTATTTTTAACAGGAATTTTTAAATAAATTGATTGGCTGTGTAAATCTCTTAAATTTGGACAAAATATTTCATAAGTCACTTTGATTGTATCTAAGAATAATACCATTAAGAATCACGAAATTCAAGTCATAGAGGGCAAGTTATTTAAAATCTTAGAAATAAAAAGTCACGCAATTAACTTTTTTACGTTAAAGACGGAACTATCGATAGTTAGTTTGCGCTATTTACACTGATTAATCACCTAGCCAAAATGTCTAACTATGAAGGTTAACAAGTGTAAATTGATGCCAACGTATGAACTTTGTGCTTATGTAATCATATCGGATGACGATTATTATTTAATGATTTTATGACTATGTTGGTGATCATAAAAGTAAGAAGAGTTATTAGATAAACAACTCTCACATCATTACTTATGTTTTAATTTTCTTATATAATTTTGTAGTAGCTGTGACAACCCAAGGGGACACTTGCCCATGTAGCAATATTCAGCGCTTATCTTTTTTGCTAAACAATTAGTTCCTTTCTCTTTTAATATTAGTTTGGAGAGTATAGTACTTTAGAACACTGCTGAAATATATATTAGGTAAGAATCATGTTTGGTATAGGGTAACGTGTTTGATGAATAGCAAGCACAATGTTTCAAAAAGTAAAAGTAACTTTATTTTAATGAAGAAAATATGTTTGCTTGATTCATTTGTTTTTCTAATACTATCTTAGACCAAAACGGCAAGGATTGTCACTAACACATGAAAGGAATAATTTATATAAAAAAATAATAAAATTTTTCTTATAAGTTAAAAATAATTTATATTTTTCATTTTTTAGAAAAAATATTTTTCATCTATTTCTCTAACTTCTCTAAAATTTGAAAAGATAAATTGTTTTAAATTTCTTTAAAAAATATTTATTCTTATACTATTTCTTTTATAAAAATTTCTTAACAAACTCACCCAAAAAGAGTCTCTATATGTATACAAGCGTGCAAGTGTAGCTGTGAGAAGCCAATTCCTATTTTTGTTATAATGGCTTTTATCAAAGTCAAAATGTTGGTGAAATGTTTGCTCACATATACTGAGGATAGGTTCTAGATGCAGAGAAAATTTATAATTCCTTTACCTCCCTTCCATCAGTGGTAAATAGTTTCTATACACAGAAACACGGTTGCAAAGAAATCCAAATCCAAATCCTAATCTGTTCTTTTCCTAGCAAGGCACTGTGTGTTGACCTTTATAAGCGATAATGTATTATTTAATATCCATTATAAACAGGTGGTACACATTTAATAGATTTTGGATGATGCATAGATAATGACTTTTTATATCAGCTATTTCATCTTATGTATGCGGTATTAGGTGTTAAGTTTCAAGCCAATATTTTTCGTGTTTAACCTTTTTATATACTTTGCCTCATACAAACTTGACCACATGCATGCATCTTTTATACGGATCTTTGTGCAATTTTATGGTCATTAAGCTCGCATCCATGCCTGTGAATTGTGAACCAAATTAAAGTTGCACGTTGACTCCTGTTAAAACACTTGGTTAGGACATAAATCTAATATGATGTGAAAAAAAAAGGCTATATTTTCAAAAGATTAACGTGTTGGATCTAAAACTTAACATAAATAATATGTTTAACTTTTAGAAATAAAAATTAAGCTTTTAAATTATAATCTCTGTTGCTATATAAATTTTTCAGACTAATTTCATACAAAGTCTCACATCTAACATACCTTGATGTGGCAAGTTAGCTATATTGCATTATTTTATTTTAATGTTATTTCATGATAATGACTAATAAGATTAACTATTACTAATATTATTAGCTAATATGATTAGCTAAAATGATGTTTTAAAAATCTTAAGGAATTATATTGATAGGTGCATACAAATTGAGAGGTAAAAGTGAGTATTCACTGATAATACATCAAAATATTATATCACATGTTTGATTTTTGAATTTTGCACCACAAAATTAATTCCGATTTTCAAGGGTATTTTCAATGGAGAAAACTCTAAACAAAGTACACAATTGGTGGTCAAGATATATTATATGAACAAAACACTTTACTTATTACCAATAACATTCAAAATTATTGAATATCTTTTATTGTTTGTGGTGTTTTTCTTCATGTCCTACTGTACCTATTAATGAGAGGGATGTTCTCACGTAACGTGTTTGACACAAAGAAAAACTTTTATTTAGATAAGTTAAAATAAGAAGAAATAAAATAAAAAACAGAACAAATATAAACAATAAAACTTTCTTGAAAATAATCATAAAAATTAAAGTTAATTTCAAAATTTTAAATTTTTTATCATTATATTTTTAAATATTTTTTAAAATTTTTTTATCATATAAATATTATTTAATAAACTAGAAATATTAAACAGAAATAGTTACAGTCAATAGTTATATTTCCCAGATCAGGAGCCATAAAACGTAAACCTGTACATCCACTGAACATTTTCATTTAATCTCTCGTTTGCGATTGAACCAAGCGTTCTACTTCAAACATAAATTAAGTTGGTTTGCTTAATTTTTAAAATTATTTTATTACTGTAAATACATTTTAATAAAAAAATTATAATTAAAATAATTTTAAATTATTTAATTTTGAACTTGAAATCGTTTTCACTAAAATTAATTTTATTTAACTTTAAAACAAACAGATAGTATTGATGATAAAATCAAAGCTTTTGATTCTAGGTCTACTTGTACAATAGAGTATTAATTTTATCAAAGTATTAACCCGCGTATCTTTTGGCCTGATCATTCATGTTTTTTTAAAGGTAGTATTTATAATTATTTTTATTTAAAAAAATTGAAAGTAATAACAACAAACACACTTTTTCTTAAATACTAAATGATTTTTTTCCCATTGCTCTAATGTGTACGAGACAATATTT